CTTCTACAGCATATTATTCACATTATCGTATCAGCTGATTCATTATCCTATCATACATTCTGCTATAGCTTTCATCATATCAAGCACTATAGTATATATTCACTACGAAGGATATTATGCGACGATTAATTATCTGATAGGAGGAACAATAGAGTTTTCTCTGTACATCACATGTTAATTATGCCAGAAACGATAGAGTTTTCTGAAAAATATACTCATTTTATGCACTAATTGTAGGATAGCTAAAGAAAATATCCGAAAACGAACTTCACTTGTATTATGTACGACTCTTCTACTTTCGAATTATCTTTTCCTCGAATCCGTACAATCACAGATAATGGTGGGTGCAAAAATCGATCAAAAGTGTAGAGAAAGAAAGAACATATAGGCTTTGGAGAAAAGCAATTGTCGAGCCTCGTTTTTCACATAGCATCGGTCTGAATTAGGTTTTGTTTGAAAAAGCAAAGTCTGGAGAACAAAAGTGGCTAACAAAGTTTAAACCTGAACTTCAGTTCGTTGCAATAAAATTCAGATACAGCAACACTGAAAACATTTTTGTAACTTGATTGGTCAATACATTCTGCCGGTCATTTTGAGGTATCGCATGTTTTAGAGTTTGAACTAAATAGAACTGCAGATAGATCTTTGCAAGCCTTCTCGAATGATGTATTTAAAGTTTAGTTTTGGTTACGTTTTTTATATCAAAATTCTTTTTTTTCAAAATGCCCCATCAACTAGAATATCAGTTTGGTAGAAAATATAAAACTTAAAAAGAACCAAAAAAACAGTTCGTTTATAAAAGCATCAGAAAGTCAATGGAAAAAAAATCTTATTCTATGGTTTGCATAGAGCTTTTTACAGTCCATCTAATGGTTTAATAAGTTTAAGCGTGGTATGATTCGCCAAATAAACATTCTTTTTTTAGGATCAATCAAAACAAAATGGCCTTTCGGAGCACAAATTGACTTCGGAAAAAATTATTTTCTCCACAAATTTGTTTTTTTAGACTTTGCTTTTTCAAAACAAAAGAAAATTCAAGCCTATTCGTCGTTCAGAAATAATATTCGACATTATTTGAAGGAGTTTTACATCATATGTTTGTTCAAAATCAATACTCTTATTAGTAAAGCAAAAAAATTTTGGAAATGTTGGCATTATTATTTATCTTGACAATTTATCGACTATGCCAATGATTTTGTTGCTATTTCGAATACAATGCATCGACATCATTACTTGACGTGGCTAAAATGATAACCCAATGGCTCTTTTTTCTTGTTCATGGTTGAACTGAATGATGCTATTCACGAAGAGATGTCATCATTATCTTTATTTGCTTTATAAACGGCAAAATAGTGCATCAGCTCGGCGATGTAGTGTGCAACGCGATACTAGCACGAAGAAAGAGTATTACGTTTTGGTTTGTACCTAAATTGATTGCATGAACAATGTATGGCGGAAATACTGGTATAGGAGCGGCGATAGCAACTTTGGCAGTTGACGAGCGGTCCATTCCAGTTTTTCCTTACATCAAGGCGATATGCGATATGAAGCGGAGCCATAGAGCACTAATACAATGATATTATAGAATTCAATAGAAGCTACGATGATCATTTTCTCTCTTTGGGTGCATGCAGAAACCAGCTGCTCACATGATAATACGACATATCAAGAGATGACCCAGTTAGGCAACAAAACTATTCTTGTTATGAGTGAGAAGACAATATTTCAGTCTTGTTTTCCTCCAAGAATCTAATGATAGGAGACAGTGGTAAATTTTCTGCGAAATAAAGTTATTATACTGACAGCTGTCTTTTCGAATAGTAATGAAAAAAAGAGCGAAATTCGTCTTTCCGCTTTCCAGCACCATTAAATAGTTAAGTATTTCTGGTTTTGTTGTGATTGGCAACGATGAAGTAATATATTCTTGTCAGATGCTGTCCGGTATAGAAATACGTTACTCGAAACGTCAGACTAATGGACGAAACCATGTAGTTTTCTCGAAGCCAAGGTGAAAGCTTCACTCACAGCTAAAAAAAAGAAGTTTTCAAAGTCGTCCAACCCACTGCTAAGTTTTCACTTTTTGCAGATAGTCAGTGAAGGAAATCAAGAAAAGTGTTCTTAGGTCTAACAAAGTTGACGTTTACAACAGTTATTGGTCAGTCTGTAATGGCTTTAACACTTTCCTCCATTAAATCATACCATTTTTTATTAATGTTATATGAACCCTTTAACCATAATTGTATCACGTAAACGTGCTACCTCGCAAAACAAATCAAAAAGAAACTTTTAAAGAATAACTTCAAAAACAAAAAGAATTATTTATCGGCCCAATAATAATCATACGAAGCTGATTACCACAATTTATAATATCATTTAGCTTAGTTTGTCAAGAGTTAAACGCTAGATGACAACGATATCTATTAACAGCAGCATATGTTCTAGCTTACTTGCCATAGGCAAATGGATTTCTTCTGTATGTATTACCATCAACAGTTTATAAACAAGAATTTTACTTAACACAATCGGGAAGAGACTGCAGCGTTGGAATAATCCAGCACAATAAAGTAAGTTTCTATAAATTATCACGCTTTTGGTGTGAATTACGAATATGATCTTCATTTGGGCTCAAGTGGGCTTTTAGAGTGAATCTTCGAGAAACTGTTCTTTACTCTTAAGATCCATAATGGAGGAATCATCTTTCTTGTCTTATGAAGCATGTTGAGTTATTTGCATGATAAAGTTTCAAATCCAAAGATTGCGCTGTGGCTCCATTAAAGAAATTTGACATCACCTGCAATAATACCATCTATAATGCACTTCAAGAAAAATGCGTTTCTAACACTAAAGAAGCCTCTTCTAATCAAACCCCCGCTTTTGGAGCTTCTTGACGCATTTTTTATTGCAAGCATTCGTAGTCTCTCGTCTCATTTTATTCAATGGTGATTTCGTCATTTTACGATCGATTCATTGTATCTTATCTTGACCAAAATTCCGTCAGGACGAGTATTTTTGGATTTTCTCCTTAAATGAAGTAGCTAAAACGAAAAGCTATACTAGTTCTGATAGTCTGGAATCTGACTGTTAATTTGATAAGTAAGCGATTGTTTGGAACGCTTTTCTCGGGTAGATAACTAAACTTTAATGATAAACTGTCCATATAGTTTCCGTTAATCGATATTGAGATGATATCGGATAAACTAAGTGGTAACACACGGAAACAAAGGCAATCGAATGTGAATGATGGTAGAAACGATAAACTATCGACATTAGTTAAAAATTGTTTTTCGTTCAACAGATTATCCAATCTTTCATCCAAATCGTAAAATGATTGAACATACTCAACTGGTTCAAAATGCGATAATAATTCCAATATGATTAGATCTCCCGAATTAACGAGGGATGGCAGAGTTCCTACAATTCTACAATTCGACTACAATACAGCAGAATTGAATATGGCTCCAGCAGAATTGAACAATGATGTATACGTGCTCCTAAACATTCAATTCTATTACGATCTAAGTACAATTCTATTTCAATTCTGCTTAACTTGATTAGTCTACTTACTTTTCCAATGCTGAGACAGAATTGAATGTTTAGAAATACGTAGACCGATCAAGTTAAGCAGAATTGAATCCTTGTCAGCAGAATTGAATATTTTCACAGCAGAACTGAAATAGAACTGAACTTAGCTCTAGCAGAATTGAAGAATGATGTGATAGAATTGAAGGTTTTGATCTCGCATGGTTTATAAAAACATTCGATTGCGATCCGAAATGTTTTATCTCCTACTTACTCTCATGCTGGGCCCCCCTGTAACGGCTCATCGCCATTACATTATTCTCCATGCTTGATCTTATTACAGTTTATAGAAATTCTTAAAACTTCGAAGTTTCGCGGGTTTTAGTAAGAGAGATAATAGAAGAAAGAAATTATGTATTAAATTAATAAATAATACAAGTCGTTTCCGGGGAACAAAAACGAAAAATAAGTCTTAGTCGAAAGTAAATTTCGATTCTTTTAGGATTCTTGTCAATTCTTAACTTAAAATTCAGATCTCTCCTCTTCTCTTCTTCTTCTCGCTCTCTCTCTCTCTCACATTTATACAGGAGAATTCTTCTGATTAATCTTCAAATTCAAACCACTTCTTCTTCTTCTCTCATATACAGGGAAGGAGGAGCTTCAATATTCTATTTAAATAGTTTATATAAATTAAATTTTATATTTAATTTATATTTAATATTTTATAATTTAGTATTTTAGTTTGCAATACTTATTTTCTTTTCGCCTTCCTTACATCAGCATCACGATTTCCGCCACCTCCTCTCAGAACAACAAAGAAGAACATTAGCTATTTTTATTGAAGTTCAACATTGTACAAATAGTTTTTTTGTACAAAACTTTTATCGTTCAACTAATAATAATCGTTGCTGCTGGTAGAAAAGAATTGGGTGTTGTTTTGTGAAGCTGTTAGTAGGGCCTAATTAGCACCACACACACACACCTTTAATAGGCTGCTTAAAAGCAGAGTTGCAGGCATTCCATTCATCCAACATTCATGAAAAAAGGTATACATCTTACTTTAAAGTAATGTCGGTATTTCTTTGAACTCGTTGTCGCCTAGGATAATCTGGAGTTGAACATTCACTAATGATACTATATTTTTGAATTGGTCTTATAAAATGATACGTATTTTCGTCTAGTGTACCAAAAATATCATAGAAATTATTTGAATGATTCGTGGACGTGGCTTTGTTTAATCTATTATGAGTTGTTAGCCAATATAAACGGGCAATGTCCCAACTAGCTGTTTCGACTAGCTGAAATGTTTTACGTAACGTAGAATAAATAGGCAGTGTGTTTCTATCGAAAATTTCTTTATATTCGTGGCCACTTGTACTGTACAGATAATACATGAAGAATAATATCGAATCTAATGAACAAGTATTTGAAACAGTATAGATTTGACCATCCAATACACATCGATTTATTCCATATTTTGGCTAGTGTAAAGCTGGACCAAGTAATGAAGTTATTTTCATAGGATATTGTAACGGTGTTTTACTCGGCGATTTAAATTTTTGACGTTTATGTTTCAAACGTGTAGTAATATGCATCGTTGTTGCTGAACGAGGACCCCGTATTTGGTTTTCTGCTTGATTATTTTCTTTAGAAGATGAACTAAATGATGATGCCGTTCGTTTAGAAAATATAGATATTCGACAGTCTATCATCCGTGACATAATCGTGTGCATACTTTCTAATAGCTGTCCGAACCCGTGAAGTTCTCGGGTTAGTATTATCAATTGTATTTACTGAAACAGTTGATAATATACGTTGATCTATTGATCGATCGACCAGCTGTAAATCATCCGCTAGATCTTCATGAGGATTTGATGGTACAGTTGACTGTGATTGAATGTCATCCACGGATGTGCTACTCCTCTTTGTCTTTGCATTAATGACTGATTCAGCATCATACGATATATCCAAAGAATCAACTGATTGAGAATCTGTTGAAGTTGCCCGAAGAGGAGATGCATCGGATGCACTAGTAGTAGATCTACAATTAGAGCCGTCATATAACAGAAATGTCAAATATCAGTTACTCGGATTACCGTGGCCGATTAGAGGTTTTTCTGATTGTGATTTGACTTCTTTTTATCCTCCTGAAATAAATGCCTCTTGTATGTAATTTTCTACCACGTTGTCTCCATGTTTCGGGTATAAGTACATCTAAAGGCTTTCTCGGTTGAGCTGATTGTGTTACACCGAACTGTCCAGCCTTGAAACGTGCTACAGTACTTTGATAAACCTTTGTAACAAAATCAGCTGGTCGGGGTCGCGTTTTCTTTTGCAACACTACTTCTTTTATAATTTCAAAATACGATTTGGCTATTGCATTTGATAAACGTCCGCGACCCAGTACGGACGTGTCTACTGAGACCGGTTTGTAGAGACCGCCCGAAAAACGAGCTTTTGAAATATTTCATATGGTTCAGATTGAGATGTATCCTTGTACGATACACCATTGGATAGAGCTCGACGAGTTCTACCTGGCACAAATAAAATTTATGATGGCACAGTTCGCAGTGCGAATGTTTTGTTAAAATGTGAAGTTTCGTGTATTTTGTCCGTGGGAAAAACTGGTACTTTGTTGTTTAAAACTTTTTGGGATAATAAGCATGAAAGCTGAACAGGTCATCGGATGGAAAGTTCTAAATTGAGTCTGGTACAGCAATGCTCGATGTTGGCACAGTTGTCGGAGTGAATGTTTTCATAAAATAGTCGAATCCGCTGCTAACTTCAGCTACGTGAGCACCATGAAGTTTACTAATTATTTATAAAATTAATTAGGTAAATTAAGGCTAGTCCGAAAGTCCGAGACAAAAAATTCGTGGACCGAAATTCATGTAACCCATTCAGAATATGGTCGCGGTGTACATTAATCTTATCGCTATTAACGGTTTTTCATGAAATTTTGTCGGACAAAATATTTCAACACAAATCACTAACGAATCCTATTTTGAATATCATCAGTAATGAACCGGCGAATTCGATGACATAGTAGTAACTTGCAGTGAAGGATGTATTCAAATTTATTATTAAAAAACTGGTTGAAATAACTATCTATCGCACAATTGTGTAAAATAAGAGTTAGAGTGGTTGGCTAAATTAATTTTAAATAGTTCAAATAAATTAGCTTCGTTTTAGCTCATTATTTTATCAAAAAATGCCATAAATTAAGGAGCAAATCAACACATGATGAAATCGCCGACATTGAATGGAGAATTATGTCTGTGCTTACAAGATGTACGGTGTAAATTTTACCCTCAATAGGAACCTTACATGAGTAAAAAATGGAATTTTGTGCTTTAATCAGCAAACACTGCATTCCTTCTGTGATTAACACTTTTGAATGTTGATCAGATTTTTAAATCCATAATTTTATTTATTTCCATCTTATACAATAGATGACACTAGTGCCAACACAAAGACGGATAAGGGCCACCAAATTGACCAGAAATGCTCCAGAGAGGACGCTACAGTGCAGCTCAACTCATGAGAGTGGCAGTTGCTTCTAATTAACATTTCTGCAAGTGGTAACAAAGCAACCATTTTTTCTTTTCTTAAATCATCAACAATGACAGCTTGAGACTTATTAGCCCTGTATTCAAGCAAGTGGTACTACGAGAAAAAGATTTTTTCAAACCCTTCATCTTAATACTCATGAATCGTTACAATAAACTCAGAAAGATTCATTGGCCCTTTTCCTTAACCTAAAAAGGTTGACGTAATTTACTAAGCCATAGAGTAGTAGACAGAGGTTTCTAAAGTATAAAGAATATTTTAAGAACAGAAGGAGTTTATACAACGTGTAGCTAAATTTCAGCAGGTATCACGCAGTTTAAAAATCAGTAACGGTATAGTAAAAAACTTCTCTAGTCCTTTAGAATAAGCAATTTCTATTTTGTCATCAAAAGATAAATGAAATCTGAATATTTTAACTGTGAAGTCAGTCGCATTTGCAAATTACGATATTTTGATCAAAACGCTGTTGCTGAAAAATCTGTCTGTACAACCAGCTGACCTCTACTAACAACCATATCTCTAAATGTTGTGAATGGATTGACATAAGACTTGGCTGTGCTACTCTTTCCTCAGTTATAAAAAGTCGCTCATTTTTAAGAGACATCCAGATGAAGAGAGGAGGGATCAGCTAAAACTGGACAGAAGCAAAGGAGTCATAAACACCAATTTTTACCTGGATGTTATTTATCAATGAGCAGCATATACTATAGAGCACACGAAAGCGTGAACGTTGAATAACATAAGAATTATAACTAGAATGACTAGGTTATTTGAGTATGTCCCCTGGTTCGAGCAGCGTGCACTTCTATATAACAGAAACGTTTTTCTCAAAAAACCCGGACATTTTTACATGTTGTTTCTCAACTGGACGCATATCATACCAATTTTCTTCTGCATCGTTGTTCAAGCTCAGTATAGAGAATGACCTTAGCAGATTTATCAAATCTAAAAAGGCCGTCAAATAAATCTTTATAAAGTTTAGAATTGTGTCACCATGACGAACCTTTTTTGAATTTATCGGACAAGTAAAGGGTTTATTAAAATAAAAAAGTCATGATGGAAAAAAGGGTTGATTAACGTGATAAACCCTCGTTTACTAAATCTTAAAGGGTTCCGCATGATGATACTCTCCTAAATCTCTGAAAAGTTTACTAAAACACTTCTTTTTTTAGAGTGTCAACCTTATCATCCAGTTATTCCGTTCTCATAAGACTTTTTTCATCATGTAGTATATAAGTTTTATTTATGAATCGTTACAAACATGTTAGTTTTCGTTCATAAAATAGAAAGCAAATTTGGGATATTTTCAAATGTTAAGTTTATGAATCTATTAGGACAACTCTATTTCGAGAGATTAACGAGAAGCGTCTGATAACGGTTCAAGGTTCTGCAGCAATCACTCAACGCGCCTGTTTTTCTATTTCTGCTAGATTTCGCATCGCGCAAACTATCATTAATGATGAATGTGCATGAACATATTCTAACTTGAGAAAGAGTAAATATGATGCAAGTAACAATGTAACGTGTCAAATCCGTTTGGATCTATAATTACAATTTGACATTTCCCTCTCTTCTTCTTCCTTTTATGTGTTAAATACGCACAGAAAACACTTGTTGAAACAGAATTATTATCATTATTGATCTTATCGCAACAAACATATGTAAAAACAGTATGCCATTTTTTTCTTCTTTTAATTTTGAAAAGGGTACAATGTAATATACATGTCTATTTTCTTACGAGATCTTTGTAATTATATTGTTGTCCCTATGTTTGGTAGAAAACAACGTGAAACACATATCTAAACGAAAAACTGATTAATATACCCTCATTAGAGAGAGAAAGAGAGATGGAAAAAAATATAGCAGCAATAGATATCATCTCACAGTGAACTGATTTTCATATAAGTATACGTCTATGATAATTGTATATTTTACACTTTTCTTCTTCACATATGTATAGATCATGACAAAGATTAAGCATGTTCTTCCCATCATGAATGTTTTCCATTGAAAATATGATCAAATTGATGTTATGTAAGTTATATGAACAATTTCTAATCTTATTCCTCATGATAAATAACATAAACTATGATTACTGCGAAAGAAGCTCTTTAATTGTTTTCTCACTTTTCCAGTAAAATAAAGTTTTTTAATAGATAATTTATGATGCTGATCAGTCGCATTGCGGCGCGTTTCCTTGGTGCGCTTTCTGAGCTTGTAGCAACTAGAAAAGCCAAGATAAACTTCGAAAAAAGACACTTCTTATTGCTGCTAGAAGGTTGAAAATATAAACTTAAGTATGTTCGCAGATGCTTAGTAGTGATGAACAGTTCATCACCAAGTAATAAACCTTTTAATGCAGAACTAGCTCTTTTCATCAGGGGTAGAACAGTTCTCTTTTCGCTCCTGAAACTTAGACATGAGATCTTTTCAAAGAAATAGAGGCTCCGGTAACTGTCGAGCGGATATTTAGCAAAATATTTTGTTTTATATCTTTCATACTTTTCAAAATTCTACAGAGCAAATTCCTTGAAAACTTGGCTTTTTTGTGAATATTTTGTAAAAACAAAATTTTCTGTTCTTTCAAAAAGAACTGAATTAGAATTACGTCTATACCTTATGAACAGAGCCGTTGAAAAGTTTATTACAATGTGAGAATCTGTGTTCGTGACTATTCTCTAAATGAAAACGTATCCTTGAAACCCGACAGAATGGATTATCAAGATTACTTCCAGACCCTCGAAAACGCTTCCGTAATGAAATTTTATGAAACCAAGAAGTTTTTCAGTAAGATCTTGACTCAAGATCTGGAAAGAAAACGAAAGAAATTCCAAGAACCGACGACCTTAAACCTCTTGAAGTTTCTTGAATTCTTGCACTAAGATCTTGATAATTCTTGCATTAGCGTTTTGTTTGACATCGTTGTTTGTAGATAAGTACGAAAACTTTTATATTCAGCATAAATTCGAAAATTTTCCTTTCTTGAGCAAAGCTGTTCAAGGATGAGCCTATGACTACGTGTAATTGTATATTTGATGATCATGGCTGCCATATAAAGAAGAAAATATAAAAAAATCTCATCACAATACTTCAAAACATTTTTATTCGATTCACTCAAGCTCTTGAGTGTAAGTTTCAAGAATCCAAGATCTTGTGACATTTCTTAACCCAAGATCTTGGGCACAAGAAGTTTCACTAGAGTTATTCGTTTCTTACAGTATAGGAAACACTACCTTTAAGTGTTTCCGAATGCTCGACAGCGTGGCAAAATCTTCGGAAAACGCTTAGAGGGTTTTCGACACTATAATTTAAACATAAGCGTTTCAGGGTAGCAATGGTCTTGTAAGCCCTTTCCTGGCGGTTTCTAAAAATGTAAGTTTTTTTGGAGAGCACAAATCATTGACGGAAATAGGTAAGTTTATATTTTCAACTTTCTAGTAGCACTGAGAAATGTTTTTTTCGAGGTTTATTTTGGCTTTTCTAGTTGCTGCAAGTTCAGAAAGCGCACCAGGAAAACGAGTTACAGTGCGCTGATCAGTATCATAAATTGTGTACTAAAAAAGCTCTGTTTTACTGGAAAAGTGAGAAAACAATTAGAGAACTTCTCTGATATGTATTATGTCTCTTCATACAGCTTGTGAAAAATCATCATATTTTACGAATCATTGATGGACGATGTGTCTGTCCAATCAGACACTTCAAGTTGCTTAACTCAGTCTGGTCTTACATCGCTTACAACATCAATTTCCTCCGATGAAGAATGGGCACACGAGCCAATGTTATCCAATGATGATTTTAACAAATTTAAACGAGTTTTAAATATTGACTGGAAACAACGATTCTCGGTTAGTCTATTTATATTGTATTGCGTGCTACTGTCAGCGTTAGTGCAGTTGAGACCTTTGATGCCAGGTAATGTCGATCGCAACTTAGTGTCATCTATCGAATGATCGAAACACATCATCCACTATTAATTGTATACTCAAACTTCCTTATTATGGATGCCATCTAGACTTTCACTTTTTGAAGATTTCTAGAAAACGCTCATTTTGGTACTTTTATAAAATGTTCAGAAATGCTGAGATGGTCACTGCGCTGCTATGTGAATAGACCCTTGAAAATAGGGACGCATAACCAAATAAAAATAAAAACAGAAATCTTCTTGCTTCATTATAAGAATTGTCATTCGTACATATTCCTGTACGAAATATCGAGATGCAGTGCAACAAATTCTCGTTTATTATCCATCATCTTTCATGCTCTACAGAAAATTTTTTTGAGTTTTGATGCAAAAATTTGAGGAAACTGTGAAGGAAGACAGAATCCATTT